CTTAACCATCCAAATCATTGTCTAACCGGTCAACTTAACGCGAGCAAACGCTTATACAGGTAAATGCGCTGAAAGACCAGGGCAACAAGGCCTTTTCTGCCAAGGACTACGACAAAGCGATCGAGTTATTCACAGCTGCCATCGCCATCGACCCTTCGAATCATGTCCTCTTTTCAAATCGGAGTGCCGCAAAAGCTGGCAAGAAGGAGTGGGCTACAGCGCTAGAGGATGCAGAACAGGTGTGCCCTATCACATTCGGGTCTGGCATACTGATGCCTTAGACGCGGTAATGAAGTGCATCAAGCTTAATCAGTCGTGGTCCAAAGGCTATGCGAGAAAGGGGGCTGCATTGCACGGTGCAAGACGATATGATGAGGCTGTCGAGGCATACGAAGCTGGTCTGAAGTTCGAGGACAGTCCTGCCTTGCGCAAGGGTTTACAAGACGTGAAAGATGCAAAGGGTAGGCTACCCTCGTCCATCCAGATGAAAACAGTCGCTGACGGACGTGCTGCTGAATCCAGGCAGGGATGGATCTGAGTCCTTCGGCCTTGGAAGAATGTTTGCAGACCCAAACCTCATTGGCAAGCTGGCAACTAATCCCCGAACACAAAAACATCTCGCTGACCCAGCGTTCGTGCAAAAGGTAGATTATCTCCTAACATCCCGCTCAATATAACTAAACGACCCTTCCAGCTTAAACTCTTCCAACAAAACCCCGCGCTCGCTGATTCGTACGTTTAGCTCAAAAATCCCTGTTCCATGGCAGCACTCAACCATTCCCTATAGAGCACTCCAGTCAGACCCCCGCATGATCGACGTCCTTGGTGTCGCCATGGGTATCGATATGCAAGGTTTCTCGGGCGAAGGCTCCGATGGTTCCGATGGGCTCCCACCTGGTTTCAAGCTTCCTCCCCCAAAGGCTCGAACACCTCGGTCGCCATCTGCATCCACATCGAAGACTCCACCAACTCCAGCTCCAGCTCCGGCACCAGCACCAGCACCAGCCCCCAAGTCCGAAGATGTCGAGATGACAGATGAAGATGTTGAGGAGGCCAAAGCCAAGGCAGACGCGCTCGCCGCAAAGGCTCAGGGCACAGAGTACTACAAGGCACAACGCTTTTCCGAAGCCGCAGAACAATTCAAGAAGGCCTGGGATCTGTGGCCAAAGGATATCACGTTCCTTGGTAATCTTGGTGCTGCATATCTCGAGGCGAAAGAGTACGATCAATGTATCGCAACGTGCGAGTTGGCTGTTGACGAGGGCCGAGGAGTAAGTCGTTCCCTTCCATGTACTGGACGTCTTCCAACGCAGGATTCAGCTCCGCGCAGACTACAAAATTATCGCCAAAATTTTTGGCCGTATCGGGACTGCGTACACTGCAAAGAACGACCTAGTATCCGCGAAGAAGTACTTCCAGAAGTCACTCTCTGAACACCGTGACGCTACCATCCTCGCAAAGCTCCAAGTTACCGAGAAAGCCATCGCCGAGACCGAGCGGCAGGCATACATCGACCCCGCTAAGTCTGCCGTTGCGCGCGAGGAGGGTAATGCTGCATTCAAGGGTGGTGACTTTGCAAAGGCCGTGAAATTATATGAAGAGAGTATCAAGCGTGATCCCTCCGATGCAAGGGGATACAACAACAGGGCAGCAGCGTACATGAAACTCATGGCACTGGCTGAAGCGCTGAAGGACGCCGACAAAGCAATCGAGGTCGATCCCGCATTCGGTGAGTTTTGATTGCGTTTAATTTTTTGTAGGTCATTTTTGAACATTATTTCAGTCAAGGCATATATCCGGAAAGCTACGATTCTGCAAACAATGCGCGACTATAGTAAGGCTCTCGAAGCTCTACAAGCCGCTTCGTCGGTCGACACCGCCAATGCACACGCGCAAGAGATTCAAGCCCAGGAGTTCAAGATCCAGCAAGCCTTGTTTACTCAGCGTTCCGACGAGACGGAAGAACAGACCCTCGAGCGAGCCATGAAGGATCCCGAAGTTGCTGTGAGTGTTATCCGATCTTGCTATATAGTTGTGGTTTTAACCAAAAATTCTTTGCAGCAAATCATGGGCGACCCCGTGATGCAGCAAATTTTGCAGCAAGCGCAAGGCAATCCTGGCGCATTACAAGATCACATGAAAAACCCTGTCGTACGCCAGAAGGTTATGAAACTCATTAACGCAGGAATTATCAAGACACGGTGATTTGCGCGGTCATGCAATCATGTCTAAATCACACTACTGTAGTTGTCTTGTTTTGTACCAGTCCACATATCGTTTGCTTTATCAACACTTTCAACTACTGTCCCTTGACTGTTCTCGCAAACTTAATTGTACATGCCTGCCCACCTTCACCAACTTAAATCAAGGTGTCGCCCAAGAGTAGTCCAGCCTTTGTACATCCCTGAACAAGTCCTGCACGCTCTGAACCCGAGTAACCCATTCCTCCTTCGTCGCTAACCCCTCAGCATCCACCTCATGCCAAGCCTTTACACTCGTATGGACCTCCTCAAGTGTGCTAAGCCCCACCGCGACAGGCACCCCAATCTCCCTCGCCCGTGCAAACGTATACTGCAGCGCCAAGTCGGGGAGACCAGTCCCAGACGCATCCCACTCCTCACTGAGCTGTACAGCCCTCTTCGCAGCCTCCCTGATCTCGAGTGGCGCTGGGTGCACCTGAAGAGGCGAAGGCCGCAAGAGAGCCATGGCAATCGGCGAGGCAGTGATGACTTGCTTCACTCCTGCGCGTGGCCCGAATGCGGATTTGAATTGCTCGAGGGTGCTATTCTGGAGGGTGAGGTGGCAGTAGGACATCACGAGGTCCACTGGTTTCCCGAGGCGCTTCCGGATGAGAATTGCGAGACGTAAGAGAGTTGGAAGCGGGAAGCCTGATTCGCGTCTATGAGAAAATTGATAGTGTTAGATTTATAGTGCACTCACCGCTGATCCCAACGCGCTTGATGACGCCTCTGTCATCTCGCAGCTCGAAAAGCTTCTTCACAGCCGATAAAATCTTGTGGTCCTTGTCCGTGTAGGTCTCACCCTCCTGATTTTCATTCAACCCATATTGTTCCTTCTCTTGCCCCAGAGCGGCAACATGGTTTCCTTCTCTTCTAGGAAGCTTCTCGTCCGCAACGAATTCGACATCATGCAAGTATACGACGTCGAGGTAGTTGGTGTGCAGGCGCCGAAGACTGCGCGCGATACTACTGTCGATAGCCTCAGGGGTATAATCGAATCCGGCAGGATAGCGACCAACTTTGGTGACCTATATGCGTTACTGTTAACCCTCCTTCACCATTGCACGAGTATACTCACCAACGTATACGAATCCCGAGGGAATTCATCTCTCAAAGCTCGAAGAGCGTTCCCGAGGATGATCTCGGAATCCCCATAGAATGGCGAAGTATCGAATACATTCAAACCATAGCTGTCGGCTTCTCAGAAAATACATTCCGTATCGTCTAGGAAGCCACATACCGCAGAGCCAGTCTAGCAGCTCGCAAGGGTGTCACTCCGGAGATATGATCAGCTTCGTTATAGATACGGGAAAACGTAGCAGTGCCAAAGATGATCGCAGGGAAGCCATTCAACGTCGCAGTCTGATGATCGAGAGTCAGAACGGAGCCGAGATATCGAGCATGTGAGTTACCAGCTTGTATTCCTCCTTCGGCTTGTCAGCATCATCATCTGGTATCTCATTAAAAGGAGGAAGAGGATAATCAGGATCAAGAGCGTCGAAGTGGGCCACCATACCAGATAGGTGCAGATCGTCAAATGAGGGAATGAGATAATTGCAATCAGTTCAACGTCGTCTTTTAACACTATCTGGTCCCAAGACCAGAAACTAAAAGCAACTATCCGGCCCGAAATACATGACATGATCACATGAAACTGTCATGATGGAGGAAAACAGATTCCAGAATATAATCAAAACTGTATTACGACAACGAGCACGACTGAAAGAAAGGTATATCACTCCTCCAGCACGAGCTTAAGTTATAGCTTGTCCCTCGACCAGCTGACAATACCAATGGGTGAGCGCAGCTCTGGAATCCAATGCACTGAGTATACGACGCACCTCTTTGCGAATCTCGAGTTAACATCCAACATTTTGATGTTTTCATCTTGTTTGACGTCGTTCCAGGGAGTAGGGTTACTCTTCGTCCAAACGACTGTTCACTCGTTCGTTAGCAGATGCGAATAAAGTCGGAATGAAGATATATCGTACCCGTAGGACCACGAGCGAGGCGGGACAAATACCAGCCTGCACCTCCGACGGCCAAACCAATAACGGCGTAGCTGTTTAGTCGTCAATAAAATTCAACTTTAGCAACGCGGAGATACGAGCTCACATAGGAATTGCCTGAGCGCAGTAAACCGGTCAGCTCACGCAAGCACAAATTATGGGAAAAGTACCTCGATGGCAAACCAGTTGCGCATGAAAGTGCGTGCTCCCCGGGGTGCTACCATGGTGGTTAACGTTGAAGTTGCTGAAGCCTCAAGCTGGTTTCTGGATTAACCGGATTGCTCTCGCGTTGTTCCCACGCTTACCAGCCAGCCGGGACCTACCGACTTCATTGATAACGGTGCCGGCGCCAGTTCCCGACTCGCTAACTAATTCCTTTGTGTCCATCGAATTAAACGCAAACTAGCCATTTTGCAGCAAATGACTGCTAATCCTATGTGATTCTACCGTCAATGCATAATGTTCTTCGACTCGTAAACATCCACCTTGACCAATCTTAGACAAGTGGTAAGCGTGACTGGACAGAAATCTGGTGTAGGTTGGAAACCTGCTCAACAATCTTTTTTCCTTTTATCACGCCTTGAACACTCGGCACTCATGGATGGATCCTTCAAGGTCTATCTTAAGTAGCCATAGCCAACTGGCACTAGAACAATAGAAATATGCTCTCTTGGGTGGTGTGGATTTGAAACCTGCCGACGCATGATCTTATCACATTCACTCAGTTCCTAGGAGGGTTCAGATCAAGCAAGTGTCCTGGCTGAAGTGGTTACCACAACAGAATCAAAATCTGTTTCTCTCGGACTGTGCAGGTTCGAAACCTGCCGACAACAAGGTTTCTCTCTCGGAACACAACTTGACATTTATCATGGCTGGTTTCATTGGAGGTTAACTGAACTGGTCTTAGCCAAGTGGTTACCACAACAGAATCGAAATCCGTTTCTCTTGGACTTCACAGGTTCGAAACCTGCGGCCGAGTGTGAGGTTTTTTTGCTATCCGAGCGCACCTTGACATTCACTTATGGATGGATTCCTCGGAGGTTCCTCTCAACTTCGTCCTGGCCAAAGTGGTTACACAACAGAATCAAAATCCGTTGAACCGACTAGTTTTTTTGCTCTATTGGAACACACCTTGACATTCACTCATGGACGGTTTCATTGGGTGTTTATCATAACTGGTGTTACCCAAGTGGTTTCCCCAACAGAATCAAAATCTGTGTCTCTTGAACTTCTCAGGTTCGAAACCTGCCAATGATGATGTTTTTTTTCTATCCAAACGCACCTGGACATTCACTCATGGACAGTTTCATGGGATATTCATCATAATTAGTGTTACCCAAGTGGTTACCCCAACAGAATCCAAATCTGTTTCTCTTGGACTTCTCAGGTTCGAAACCTGCCAATGATGGGTTTTTTTCTATCCAAACGCACTTTGACATCCACTCATGGATGGTTTCCTCAGAAGCTCATCTCAACTGGTCTTAGCCAAGTGGTTTCCACGACGGAATCAAAATCTGTTTCCCTTGGCGTGTGTGGGTTTGAAACCTTATGACGACAATTTTGTCTCGGAACATAACTTGTCATTCACTCATGGATGGTTTCCTTCGTCTCAGAAACATAAGATATATCCCCGAGGTGTGCCAACCTAGATGCTCGACAGACTGACCAAAACTGTCGGGATTCACCACCAAACGAAAAATGTTAACCGGGCCGGAGGCCAGAACGCACTTTTCGATTCTCGCGGCAAGACCCGGGCACCGGATAGACAGAGCCTAGAGGTCAACTCTAGAACACCCATAACGGAAAGCTCAAGACACCATGTAGGAGTGGCCTACCGAGGCATGCATGACGGAAAAAAGGGGTTCAGTGAGAACTGAACACAAAGACAACTTGACAAGCTGGTACCAAATGAATGTAACCAAAAAGGCCCAAACACGGTTATAGCCCGCAGAGGTTTTGGGAGATGGGAAATCCACCGTGTTCGACAATAGCCTTCCACGCGACTAACGTTGGGAGTCGGGGATCAATCTCACAATCGTTCGATATCCGATCGCAGTGAGATCCAAGAAATGCATAGGCGTGCCAAATAAAAATATGGGCATGAATGAAGACTGTCCTCAAGTATTCTTAGAAGATACGTAATAATATAATACAAAAACAACAATATTGGCACATGATAACATGACTTGCCCCTCTACGGGCAGTCATAACACGACAAAGAAAAGTGAGGGGGATGTGAGAAGTATGTGACACGTCAATCGGAGATGTAGGGGGACATAGAAAGGAAAGAAGCATACGACTAGGACAGGCATATATCAGGGAACGTACTGGCAAGATTCTTCACAAGAAAATGTCGGCGCCCTTGCAAGCACCACAAGGAGCTACCGCAAGACAGCGTCCTATGCCATTAATATGGTTATTGCCCAGTCGATTCCTCAGCTTCTCCAACTGCTGATCCCTAGAAACAAATCTCCTTTCGATCAAGCGTCGTACACCAGGACAGGCACTAATGAATGGTGATGTTGCCTCTGCAGCATCATCAGTCGAGGTCCTAGGCGTAGTGCGCGACACAACCGCAGCCGCACCCGGCGTCCACGAGAGGGGAATAAAATTTGACAGTGTCTGGAATGAAATTCGTGCCGCAAGCGGTGAAGACATAATTGACGATAAAGATGAAGTCGAGGCATATTGGTCAGGGTATTCACAAGTGTCGGAGGTATCTAGTTTTGCTTCTGCTATCTCCTCAGAGGTACCGTAGTATCTGAGAGTTCCGTTGGCTGTGAAAACCAAAGAGAAAAAGTTAGAACCCACTCATGGATGATCTAAGGTGAGGCTTAAATCCCGAACCATTTGTAGCACCCTTGGAGCGCATCGGCGGAACAGGAACGCGAGATTTCGAAGGACTGAAAATCTTGGATGGCGATGGCGAGACTGGTTGAGGAATGAAGGACGGAGTGACCCCGCCGCGCCGTGATGGAGGGGTCATAAATGACGTCGCCGGATAGTCCGCTAGTGCATTAAAACGATCAGACGCCCTTCTGGGCGGTGTAGCTGAAGAGGGCGGTGTAAGCGGCATGAACGAGCGCAGTGAAGTTGCACGAGGAATTGACGATGGCGAGTTACTTGTCCGGCTCGATGGACGGCTGCTGCTCTCCAAAGTCGGCGGCGAAGAGGTCGGCGGAGTGATCGGCTCCTGTACCCTGGACTGGGGGAAAGTGAAGGGAGAAGCATCATCTTCCTCATCATCAAAAGGCTCACAGATCATGACAGGTTTTCTTGCAACATGTGTCGGCTCAGACTCTGTCGGAGGTGTGATGCAGATGACAGGTGGAGGACTGCAGGCAGTTGGCGGAGAATTAAATGTGAAACGGACCCCGCCCTCGACTTCCTCGCCAAGGAGTTCGCCATCGTTATCGTCATCAGCTTCGCCTTCATTGTCTTCGTCTTCTTCCGGCACAATATCAAGGCTCCTCGACATCGGAAGGTCGACGATAGTGCCAACGTCTGAAGGGATGACAAAGGGCGGCAGCTCATCGTCATCATCGCAGGAAAGACCGAATGTCGACGTGAACATCACTTTGCCCATCTCCTCAGAACTAAATGGGGGGGAATTTTCGACATCATCGAGGCATCCAAAGAACCGGTCAACCTCATCAACATCACGCTTGACTGTGACAGGCTGACCCCTGGGGAACGTCCACGTCTTAGAAAGTGAATTGTGTCGGGAATGCGAAGACCTCGACGGAGCGTCATTGGACAATGAGTTGAGTCGGTTTGTGGCCTCGTTCAGGACTGTGACTGGCATGATGTCGAGTTCATCCCCGGAGCCGATGGACGAGCCATCTGGACTCTGGAAACTGAGGTCGGAATCTTCTGCATCTTCGTAACCAGCCAACTCATCCTCCTCGTCAGAAAAGTCGCAGTCGGAACTGTCCTCATCCTCGTCCTCATCTTCCTCTGTGACAGCATCGAGGGTCAATTCAGCCTTGGTGAAGCTTTGGTCGACAGACTCGACATCAGTTGAAGAGCCGTCAGAGTCAATGGACTGGAAGCCAAATCCACGAGGACGGGTGCCATAAGACTGACTAGGCACTGAACCTTTGTCCTGCCCACCAACAGAAAATGGAATAGTGGGTGTATTAAGTAATCCGGCGTCGTCCAGAACTTTTTCCAGCTCCGCGCGCCTGCTTCGCTCTTGTTCGAGTGCGGCGCGGAGGCGGATGACCTCATCAACTGCATGGTCAACATCTCGGAGACGAGCACGCAACCTGTCCAGCTCCCCCCTCATGCCATCACGTTCCTTCTTGAATTGCTGGCTCTGGCTTATTGATTCCTGGAACTCGGCATTCTTGCTACCGAGGGCCTTATCCAGGCTACGTTTCTCGACTTCCAGTAGACCAAGCCGCGAGCGGGCCACCCAGGCCTCTCTTCTCTCAGCCTCAACTCGCCTTGCCAGGACGCCAGCTTGTTTATCTGCATCAGCTACACGCATGCGCCATCCATCTACGTCTCTCTTCAGCTCGTCACGCTCAGCCTTCAGATCCGAAATTAGCTGCAGCATCTCGTCGCTTGGCTCGGACGACGCTGCCGAAGCTTCCGAAGCTATCGAAAGGGGACGCGATCGGGACATTGACCGCGAACGTAGCGTGCGCTCGAGATCCATTATGCGAGCCAGGAGCACATTGTGAGATCTAAATAAAAAATGTTGCTCGGCTGTGGTAAGGGGCTGTTCTACAACACATTCGACGTCGTTTAACTCCGAAAACCGACGGCCGGTGGGAGTCGAATCAGGTGTGGGCAAGACACCCACACCACGAGGAATGGAGGCAACAGAGCGTTTGTACGAAATGCTGCTGCGTTTCCTGTTGTTATCGCAGAGTGAGGAGCTTTCGGACGAAAAAGAGCGACGTGAAGCAAGAGTAAAGGAACCGGAAGATGATGATGCGACAGTGGTGGAGTGGCGTTTCGTACTGCTTTTCGTGAGCTTGGCATTCGTGAGCGAGGTGTCAGAGCCGGATGTCAAGGCGAGAGATCTCAGACCATTGGGCAGATGATTCGGCGTAAGAGTGGGCGTGGGGAGATTTCCGGGTGTGCAACTGGCAGCATTTCCAGACACAAGAGAGAGAGGCCTGAGATTGAGGCTGGCAGGACGGTGACGTGAAGCAGACTTTGTCACTGTAGAGGCTGGAGTAACGAGCGGAGCAGTGGGAACTTCCGCCAGTTCCTCGACAACCTCGGCAACTTGAGCGGGATGTTCCTCTTGGGATTCCTCCTCTTCCTCTTCCTCCTCGACTAGTGTCTGAAGCTGATCTTTGGAGGTAGAAGTAGAAGGAAACATTTTGCCGAATGAATCACGCTTGCTCATGAGGTTACTAATACCATGCCCACTGATACCAGTACCAGGAGGGAAAGACGGCTTGGTTGCTACATGTCATTTGTAAATATAGACGTAGGATCAAACGAGGCAAAACTCACGGAACTCAAAAGGCTTTGTCAAATCGGGGGACGTGATATCAGGAATTTCGACCTTGGAGAAAGCAAGGTCAGGCTTTCCCTCAAGAGCCCAGAGCGCCCTGCGACGAATAGAATCCCTGTCGCCAAGATTTACGTTATCATCTGAATTAGCTGCTGGAAGGTCAGGAAGTGACACGCCCATAAGCTCTGCCGACTCGCGGCGAGTTGAAACAGAAGAACGACGCCTGTGATGGGAATTCGGGCGCTTTGAAGGGGGTGCATTTGAAGGTACGTTATTGGAAGAAAATTCAACTGGAGAGGGGAATGAAGGTGCAGAAGCAGAAATAGATAATGTTGAAAGAGAAGAGATTGAACTGTT